TTCTTTCTTTCTTTCTTTCTTTCTTTCTTTCTTTCTTTCTTTCTTTCTTACACACATTTACAACCTAACCTTCTTGCTTTTCCAAAGTATCACCTGGGTGCCTGTGTTCTTAAGAATAGCTACACAGCCAAGTTAAGTCAGAAGGGAAAAACAATTTGTTTGTTTACTGGACTGATATCTCTGCTTTCATCAGGAGCTCAAGGCGATATATGTAGTGTTCCTCCTTCTTATTTTTCCCCACAACCACAACCCTATTGGGCTGTGAGCGAATGGCTGCTCCAAAGTTACCCAGTGAATTTTCTTGCCTGAGGGTGGCCTTGAATGGGGTCTCTCCACTCCTAGTCCAACACCTGTAAACCACTATACTGCATAGCTCTCAAAATGTATAAATGCTGTACTGTATTTCCCTATTTTAGAAGTGTAACTCTTAAGATTTTCTAATAGTATTGAATATTGCCTAATTTTCAGTCATTTAGTAACATTTCCATGTTGCATATTTGTTTAAATATTTGAACATGCTGTGTAGACACACAAGTGCACACACAGAGACATTCATATATGTTTATCTTTTTTTAACTTTCAGGATTGCTCTAGATATAGCCCAACATATCTATGCCATTAAGATTGCAGCCAAACAGTTATCTCTTCCTGGCATGTGAACTAGTGCTGTGGTTGAATCAGATAAATGGGAGACCATTTTTTAAAAAATTAGGGTCAAGGGAATAAAAGCTGGGCATGCAATAAAGACAATTTCAAGATACCCATTTTTCATCACTTCAGAGTACTCACCACAGAGTAACAAATATCTGCTGCTGAGATGTGAATAGGGAGCTATGAGGTTTCAAACAAACCCATCATAGGATATCTCGGCTTTAGATGTTTGCTGCCATTAACAATAAAAATGTTGCTGAGTTTTTTCTGACCTGAGTTTCAGCTCTGAGCAACTGAACTGTGTTATTGTCATCTCCAAAGCTGATTGTTTGGCTTCAAAGAAAGATTTTGCAGAAGAGTCGCTCATCAATGTAAAAAAGCCTGTAGATTTGAAAACTGGGGCACATGTTTTGCTGCACAGAAAGACATCTTCCTCTACACATACATCACCACCATGAGTCTGGGCACCTCATTAAACTGCATATCATATGCAGTTCTACAGCTGGAGCACATAGGTTTTATCATCATCTTTAAAAAGTACAAGAAAAAGAAAGGTATAGGGTGTAGGATTCAATTGGGGCAGCAATTCAAGGTGTTAACTATTTGCCCATGTATTTTTCCCCAACTTAAAAATAGTTCCACCACCCTAACAGGGAAAATCCATCAGGCTTTGCACTTTGAAACAACATTTTGTAACATCCTTGTGAGCCAATCAAGTTTCTATTCCCCTTGTCCATTTCTAAATTATTTGTGTTTTCTTCCTACTGGTATTACTATCCCGGAAAATACATACTTTATCTAGCAGTTTATTTTCAGTTGCATAAACATAATTGAATAATGAGTCAAAATCTTATAAGTGTGTAGAAGCCATTTTGGGGGTTATTCCCCCCTTGTTTTGCTTTTTGTCCCCTTTTCCCTGCTTCTACTTTTTGAGCCAAACTGCCAGTGGATTCTCTGTAATGGAATGCAAAATTGTTAGGGTGGCTGACTAGTTCATTAACTAGTTCACTTTTGTCCATGCACAGAACTAAGAACTCTCCAAAGTTCTGAGTTAACTGACATTGTTAGTTATTATGAGGGCCAGATTAGACCATCCTGTATGAATCAAAGGATGAACTGTACTATTTGGTACAGTGTACTGTTTGACCCTCCCCCTCCCCTAGAAACCTGGAAAACAAGTAAAAAAAATTGCCAAGGATGGAGAAGAAAGTCATTATATATAGCAGGTGTGTATAGCTTTCAAAATGCAGGCGTAGCATCAGTTATAAACCCAAATCTCTCTGGGTCAAATGAACATCCACTGTGCAGAAAAAAGGCAATTTTGTGTGTACACGTTCTTTTTGTGAATATGAATGCCTTACATGATGTTTTACAACATTTCTTATATTCTTTTACATTTTTAGTCATTTGTTAAGGATTACATGATCTCTATCACTAGACTTCTGCTGGGACTGGATACTACACCAGGATCTGGGTTTCTCTGTTCTGTAAGTTACCACTTTTTAAGTCCTATATCCCAATACTATTACATGGACTTCTTTTTTGCTCTTTTTTCTTTGCAAGGGGTAATTGGTTTTTGTCTCTATGAAGGAATAGTTGCCATTTCTTTTTGGACAGAAAATGTGTTCAAAAGAACTATTTGCAAAGCATTTATACGTTGGTTGTTGGGAAAACAAGCGATAGGAGGGAAAGCAGGATAGTCTTAGTAACAGTCACTGAGAGGATACAGACCTGGACAGGAGTGGTAGCAACATAAATGGAAGATAGAGATGTGTGAGCAAAGCAAAATGACTCTATTTGCAGAGGCAGACTGAAGCAGCTTTCTAAGCAGCCGAATGAGGCTGGAAAAAGCAGCTACGTTACTGATTCAAAAGGAAGTGATTCCTATAGGCTTTTGTACAGTTCAAACCATCTTTTCTGAAGATTTGATGGCTCTAGTAGATAGGGCATTCTACAATAAGTTGTAAACATAAAACTAATATGTGTATCACAGTTATGTGCTGCTATAGTTTAATTTAAATTTAAACAGTATAACAATCAAAGCACAAAGTTTGTGATGATTTTTATAGTCACAAGCTGCACTTTTCCTTCTGTACTTTGGTTGCTTTGTGATATATATGTAATATTTGCACACTTCTGAAATTTGTACCTGGATTGGTATCATGTATTATAACCAGGAAGGACTGAAGTACAGCACAATAAATAATGCTCCGTCTTGTGAGATATGTAAGCAGACAGGCTTTTGTTGCTTACTGTAGTATTTTAGGTGATTCCATCTGAATAAATAAATCAGAAATTTGAGCTGTTTTGCTCATGTTGTTATTGCTTAGATGAAAATCACAGAAGATGATTTGTGGATCAGAACATATGCCAGACTTTATCAGAAGCTTTGTTCTTCGACTGGAGATATTCCTATAGGAATCTATAGGACTGAATCACAGAAACTAGTAACATCTGAGGTTTGGACACTTTAATTTTCATGCAGACATTTGTAAAGAATGTGACCCATGAAATATTTGTAATGATTTGTGGTGGAGTGATCTTACTTAGCAATATTTGACTTACTTTTCACTCATACTGATTCATATTTCGTTATGGGATTGACCTATAGAGTGTGTCTGTTTCACAGCAAATGTAAAATATGAAGGGGCATCATATGTAAAATACTTGTTGACAGGCCATGAATATGCTTCACAGAGCATTGATTTTAGCCTCTGGCATCTATCCATTGTGTGCTTGGGGATCACCTACATATTCTACATTAATAATTCCCAAATTATTCTGCTGAGGAAGAACAGTGTGGTGCGATAAATAAATTGGTTTAGGTCCAAGCTCTCTGTTCCCAGAACAGTATGTCTACATGATTCTCCACTCTGTCTTTCCTTCTTTTCTAGCAAATTCTGCTAGAAGAGAGCTATATCCTGACTCTGTATTCAGAATCACTCAACTCACATTCAGTCACTCACAAAACCAGGCACATTATTTACAGATTCTACAAGAATATTTGAATATATAGAGAAACAGGTCAAAGCTGGTCCTATTCACTTTTGTCCCCATGAACATAGTTATCCCTACAAATTGACCTAGCAGGCAGTCAATGTAGGAGATGGACAACAGCCAACCTACTGAGATTAGAATACAAATTAAGTACATTTCAAATATATTTACAAATTACCAAGGAAAACTCAACTCAGGGCTTCATATTTAGAAACAATCATGCATTTCTGAGAAAGTGTGTTGCTGCTCTAATATGTCTCAGAATTAATTAAACTGCAAGTTGCCTTGTATAGTGAACACACTAGTTGCCACAGTATTCCATCTTAATAATTTAGGCATTGCTTTTATCAGTATCTAAACACCTATGGATATTTAATGTTGGGTTCTTTACATAAAAAATATTTACTTCAATATGCTTTCTCTTACAGTCAGTGGTGACTCTTTCTATGGATATCACTGCATGGATAGTTGTTATGTACAAACAGTTCAGTCTTGGAGTATTCTGACCTTTCTTTTTTTGCATGAGGGGGGTGACTTTGAGTCATTGTTGACTCCTGGAGAAGTCCCTACAGTTTTCTTGGCAAGGTTTTTCAGAAGTGGTTTGCCCTTGCTTCCTTCCTAGGGCTGAGAGAGAGTGACTAGCCCAAGGTCACCCATCTGGCTTTGAAACTAAGGCAGGACTAAAACTCACAGTCTCCAGGTTTCTAGCCTGGTGCCTTAACTGCTGCACCAAACTGGCTCTCATTCTGACCTTAGTAGAATTCTTTTCCACAAGATTTGATAATTTGAAATATGAATATTTATTTGTCATAATTTGTATGCCATCAATAACTCTGCGTAGCTCAAATACATATTTAGTTCATATGTTACAAGTGTCCATGAATATATATATCTATGTAAATGTTCCACCCATTCATATGAGGATTAGAGTAGTGGGTACATGGATACTGATGCCAACATTGCCTCAATATTCTTATCCCTCTATTCTTGGTCTTCCCTCGCTGAGTAGGAAGGGTTTAATATAAGTAGAAGGGTTAGAAACTCAACAGCTTCTTTTTTTCTTTTTTAATTTTTAATTCTTTTTTTTTGTCTTTTGTCTTTTTTTTTCTTTTTAGTATCTCAGTTTTGTTAAGCTTGTTTTGTTCATCTATATTTTTCTTTTTATTAATATGTATAAAAACATAAACATGCATACACACATGCACACACACACACACACACACTGAGTAACAACATGATGGAGATTTCAATATCAAGTACAGGTAGTCCTTGCTTAATGACTGCCCTGTTTAGTGATTGTTTGAAATTTTGATGGCACTGAAAAGTAACTTTACGACTGGTCCTCGCACTTATGACCATTGCAGCATCCCCTCAGTCATGTGATCAAGATTCGGACACATCCCAACTGGAAGGCATTTACATCCATCACAGTGTCCCATGGTGATGTGATTGCCATTTGTGCTTTTCACAGCTGGTTTCTGACAAGCAAAGTTGGAAATTGCAAGTTGCGGTCACGTAATGTCTTGCTTAATGACTGTGTCACTTAGCAACAGAGTTGCTGGTCCCAATTGTGGTCATTAAGTGAGGAGTACCTGTAAATAGCTTAAGACCAAAACCTTTATTACATAACAAATACCTTGAGGTATACTCTTCCTTCATCTTATTTCCAATTTTATGCTTAATTTGAATGAAAAAGCGAAATAATCATAATGCTTGTAATATTAATATCCTAAACAGTAACTAATATTGATAGAATATCCACTTTTTCTCTCCTCTTCTCTATATTCAATATTCTAAGGTACCTAAATAATGCAATGTTAAGAATTTAAGTATATTATATACTTAATATTCAATACCATTGTACTGAAGTAACACATTATATCAAGATTTATACTGACACAATAAAAAGAAAAAGTATATAAGCAGAAGGGCAAATAGCAATAATAATACTGACGACAATAATTTGAAATTGGGTTCTACTTGTAGCTGCTTGAAAGTACATAGAAGTTCCTCAAAGTTAAGAACCCTGATAAAATAAAATTCCCAATGTGCACAGGTTTCCGTTCAAGTTCCACTGAATGTGCTAGACCCCCATCTTGAGCAAAAGGAAAGTCTGGATTTCAATAGACTGGGATACAGACCCTGGATAATGATTATATGCACCCCCAGGTCCCTCTCTCAGTTCTACACAAGAAATAAACAGGCTTAATGTCTGTATAGAATAAGGGTATGACAAAAAAAATTGGAACTCCTAGTATGAAAGAGCATACTGTAAAGCAGTCCCGGTCTAAAACAAAACAAACAAAGGAGGTTTTTCCCAACATTCAGTAGGAATCTACTTTGCAGGAACTTAAATGCATTCTTCTGTGTCTTGTACTCTGGGATAACAGAGGACACACACCCTGATCTTCTAGACATAATAACTCCCTTCCTGTGCACTGGCCTAATTCATAATCCCAGAAAACATCAACACGTAATATCATAATTTACTGAGATGCATCCTCACCGCAGCAAGAATAATTTTTGCCCAATACTGGAAGAATGAGACAATTCTGACGATATCTGATTAGGACCTTAAACTGGGAGAATATGCAGCAATGGCAGATTGAAAAATTCGGCCTGATTCAAAAGAACCAATGTAGTGGGGAAGCTGATTATGCCATATATATATAGTCATAGGCAGTCTGGCATGTCAGTGGATTGCCTGGCTAAGTCTGTTCTGGGTAATATATTTTATTATGAAAGAGCATTCAGTTATATGAACCCCCACCTGCAATCTAAAACACTCCAGCCTGGGAAGAATTTTATTATCTCAACAATGTAGCATAGTATTTAATTTGAATCTGTTATTTATGTGTGAAATAGGCATTATTTGCCTGAGTTACCATTTTAAATTACTTGCAAATGCATAAATTGCATGACTGGACTGTATTATAACGCTGAAATGTGGAAACATAGAATAACCTCATCTATATATTAAGTACGGGAATAGTTATTCTTTTATCAGAACACAGTTCAGCTGTCACAGAAGTTAATTCCAGGATGTGTTTTCTCAAATGCTTAAGGAAATTTTGAAGTAACTCTATTCTTCAATGGTCCATTCAAATATTATTTACTGAAGCAAGAGACATAGGCTATAACGTGAAGGCCTCATCGGTTTATGAATTCACTTTGTTAAGATGGAATGTAAAACAAACTCTTTGATGTTAAAATTGCTATAAACATTTATTAGCAAAAAAACACCCCAAAACCCAGCATTCAATTCATTACATTCTTGTTCATTTTAAAGTAAATTCTAATAGGAATTTGACCTTTCACCACTTTCCCATGTCATCTGTATAACTTTGTTTCTATTTAGAATCATATCATAGCTGATAGGAAGCAGAGGAAAGACACTTAAGAAACTTAGTTAATCAAGTGCTTTATTCGATATCCAAACTGAAGTTGCATCATGTAAATTTCACACTACGCAAGGATTTAACTGCATATTTCCTTGTACCACCACGATATCATGAAACTGTCTATGTGTTTTCTTCGTTTGGAAACTGTTGTTTGAATGGTGTTTTGTTTTCTTCCCTTCTTCTGACTCCCATCTTGTGTCAGTCTCGAGAAATGGCTTCACAAGTAAGTATTTGTCATGTGTTACCATTTCCCTCGTGTTGGCCTAAAAAATAAAATCTCTAAACTGTTGTACAGGGAAAGGTTGTACGCTTCTAATCCCTGCCAGTAATCTCTGCCAAATAGTTGCATTTAGTCAGTAGTACCTACAGAAGAGATCACAGTAATAGTGCCAGATGAAATATTCCAGTCTTTTGTAGAGGTCAAAAGATGCCACTTGCATAGTTAGACGTTCGCAGAATTATGTGTTTAACATGACTAAGTGGTTGGGCAGGCTCATGGGTTTTATGAGCCACTCCATGGGACACTGATTCTGTTAAAAGCAGGGATATGATTTAACTTCCCTGAATGCATATCTTTACATATACAGTACTATCATATCGGGGATGGGGGGGATGGAGCGGACCAGGTAGTAGAATGGAAAAATTCATGAAGCTACATCTTCAGTACTTGGCTCTGTGTGTGTGTGTGTGTGTGTGTATGCATGCACATGATTTAGGCACAGTGTTGAGTGCACAAAAGTAAAAATGAAGTTACAAATGTATATTTGTATACATACATACATACATGTATATATATTCATACATGTATATAACGTATAAATGTATTTTATATATAATTGTCTAATATTGATTAAGCAAGTATTAAATAAGTAAACACATATTTTCCTTTGCATAATCCATGCTGTGAATTCATGGTGGTAGGCATTGGCTACACTAATAAGACTGGGGGCTAGGAAAATGATGAGGTTTTTTTTTTTTTTAGATTTTTTATCCCGCCTTTATATTATTTTTATAAATAACTCAAGGCAGTGAACAAACCTAATACTCCTTCCTCCTCCTATTTTCCCCACAACAACAACCCTGTGAGGTGGGGTGAGTTGAGAGAGAGTGACTGGTCCAAAGTCACCCAGCCAGCTTTCATGCCTAAGGCGGAACTAGAACTCACAGTCTCCTGGTCTCCAGCCTGCTGCCTTAATATCTAGACCAAAGTGGCTCTTTAATAGTGTAATAGTGTAAGAGAACCTAAGGCAAGATTACTTATTTGGTGGAAGAGAAAGTATTTCCCAAAGAATTTAATTTCCATCATGATTTTCTCTTTAAAGTCTCAAATTTCTATCAGTGTGGAAGAATGGGAGGACACCAAGGATAATAAAGAACAATTTAACTACCGTAGCAATCACCGTAACTCAACTTCAAGTGATCAGTCAGATCATCCTTTGTTACGACGAAAAAGTATGCAGTGGGCTCGGCGGCTGAGTAGAAAAGTGCCAAAGCATTCAGCAAAAACAGCAGAGAAAATAAGCCAGCAGAGAATGAATCTTTACAGAAGGTCAGAAAGACAAGAACTTGCCGAACTGGTGAAAAACAGAATGAAACATCTGGGACTCTCAACAGCAGGATATGGTAAGATACTGTGACACCCACCTCCCAGCAATATACATATAGGGGAGATATATAACTGCTTGGTAACAGTTCATTGGATCAAGACTAGAATAGTAAATATTCCCTCATCAAAGGTTCCTGAGAAAATTTAGCCATCATGGGTGAAAGTCACACACTTATGGATTAGTAAGTGTTCAACAATTAGAATCAGAGTGGAGGTATAAACTGACAGTTCTCCCAATAGTACAAAGTTAGGAGTGGGATGCTCTATGGAATGGTATATTGAGACCACTGTTGCTAATTACTTTTCAAACTACCAGGAGTTAGGAGTGAAGAAGAAAGTAGATCAGAAGAGGTTAAGCACTTCTACTCTTAAGAGCAAAATATGTCTTATGTTGGTGGGATTAACCGGGAAACATCAATTATGTTTAGCAATTAACTTAGAATTGATTACAATGTTTATGACATCCTTTAAAACTGAGTTTTCACTTAGTGGCTTACAATATAATCCATCTGTTTATGGTATCTCTGTATCTGTAATCAGTACCTTCAAGAGTCAGTTTAATATTTTGCTTGCTGTACGCCTTAAAGTTTTAGCAAATCTTCCTGTGTCAGACCTAGAACAACCGATGAGTATGAAGGTGATTTAAAATAGACAAAGTGCAGGAAAAGTTGGCATCTAATGCTAATGCATCTTCCTTTTGATTTTAATATTGCATGCTTTATAAATTAGATGTATCTGTTCTCTGGATTGTATACATCATACTGATATTTATTTTATGCATGCATGCAAACTTGTCCCATTTTTATCAATAGCTGGAAAATCTTACTGTTTTAACTTAGCTAATGGCAGGAACAGAATGCATAATGGCCAGTAGGAAATTACTCTTCCTCCACAAAATATTGGTCAGTCAGTATTGACAAAGCTGCCCATACTTCCATTTGTGCTGATGCCGTATCTTATTTATGTTCCTTACACATTTTTTTTATCACACTCTCCCTTTGTATAAAGCTCTGTATGCAGAAGTATTTTTCATACATTTATACATTCACCTCTTGCAGAATTAGAACATATGTCTTTCAAGATGCATAAATGATTGCTGCAATGTCTATGTATGGTCAGCCTTGACTTCTGGCAACTGCCTGGATAAGTCCCTGCAGTTTTCTTGGCAAGATTTCAGAAGTGATTTGTCATTGCCTCCCTCCTAGGGCTAAGAGAGAGTGACTGGCCCACGGTCACCCAGCTAGCTTTGTACCTAAGGCAAGTCTAGAACTCATGGTCTCCCAGTTTCTAGCCTGGTGCCTTAACCACTACACCAAACTGGCTCTCTTCATGCTATAATAATATCATTTTATTAAACTTAATCTTTTGGAGTGGTATTTGAGCAATAATAAGCCTCCATTAAGAAGACACCACATGAAAATACTTCACCAAATTATTAGCAGGTAAATGGAAACAATTATAGCTTTTGACAAAAGAGATTAAATCTTTCCTGGGTAAGATTATCCAAAGATCTGAGGTGAGGTGTCATCAGTATGCTGATGATACCCAGCTTTATATCTCCACCCCAGGATGCCTGAGTGTCTCAGTGCCTGATGCTGTAGAAACCTGGATGGGTTGCAACAGGCTTCAGCTCAACCCGAGCAAGACCAAGTGGCTCTCAGGTTTTGGACCTCCTGGTTCTGGGGACCTTCCATCTTTGGTTCTGGATGAGGTGGGACTGCCCCAGGCAGACCTGGTGCACAATCTGGGGGTTCTCCTGGATTCATGGTTCCTGCTCAAAGAGCAGGTGGCAGCCATGGCCAGGAGGGCCTTTGCACAGCTTAGGGCTGTGCATTAGTTGCACTTGCTCAGGGCTGTGCATTAGTTGCACTTGCTCCTGGACTGGGGAGGGGGGGTCTGCTCATAGTCACTTATGTCCTTGTGACCTCCAGATTGGACTACTGCAATGTGCTTTACATGGGGCTGCCCTTGAAGAGTATTCAAAAGCTTCAACTGGTGGAAAATGTGGCAGCACAGGCAGTTACTGGTGCCAGTTACTTGGCACATGTGACACCACTGCTCCGCAAGCTGTATTAGCTTCTGGTGTGCTTCTGGATACAATTCAAGGTGCTGGTTGTCACCTTTAAAGCCCTTCATGGTTTCAGACTGGATTACTTATGGGACCGTCTCTCCCCAGTTGTTTCTACCCATCCTCTCCAATCTGGCAGGAACGGCATCCTCCAGGTACCATCAGCTACAGAGTGTCACCTGGCGGGGCCCAGAAGAAGAGTTGTTTCTGCCATGGCACCTGCCCTTTGGAACATCATTCCCATGAGATTAGATTGGCCCCGTCCCTGTTGACCTTTCATAAGGCCATGAAAACTTGGCTTATGCTCGAGCCTGGAGCCCTGGATATGCGTTAGAGCCTGTCCCTTAGTTGTATAGATGTTAGGTTAGATTATGACCAGCTGCTATGCATTTTTATTTTTGTTTACATTATGCATTTTTTAAAATTTGTTTTATTGTAAGCTGCCTAGAATCATGTAAAAGTGAGATGGGCAGCTATATAAATCAAGTAAATAAATAAATAAATAAATAAATTTGAATTAACCCAAGCCAAGGCTTAAATTGCAGAAGCTTCTAGTATTCCCCCAAGCATAGTTGATATTGCTTAGATTGCTTCTGGTTTACTCAGAAGCTACTCCCAAGGCAACCACTATTTCTGAGCTGTTCTGCAAGACAATCTGGTACTGCTCCATCTTTCACACCCTGGTGCTCAACTCAGAAGCAGCAGCCCTTCCCCAGATTTTAGGATCTTACAGATTAGTCTCCCCAGACTCTTAATTCTCCTGCTTTTTCTAAGACTTATTTGAGAGGGCCATAACTTTTCAAACTTTGAAGAATAAAGGAGCCAGCAGCAACATCAGATTCTGGAAACAGATTCAATTCTTTTTTTTTTTAAATGATCTGATTGGAAAGAAATGGGGTCATACTAAGAATTTGCTGGACTTTTGTTCAAGTATATTATATTCTTTTCAAGGCAAAATTTAATGGAATTTACCAGGTATAAAAGTTTTGTACCTAATTCTTTAAAGATAATTATAATAAAAGTTATCATTTCCCCCTATTTTTGCCTGTAATTAATGAAACACAGTACTTTTTTTATTTTTTTCAGGCTATAGCATGTAACATAACCATAAACTATTGGTCATATATTGCTGATCACCTATGTGCTTCTTTGCTTTGCTGTCTTTCCTTATTTTTACAAAAATGCAATAAAAATATAATGTTGCTTATGATTTGGCCATCTTAGGTTAAGACATGACCTTTTCATTTGAGTGATGTTACAATCAGTTATTCAAAACATCCTTTATTGTCTCTCCTCCCCCTTGTAGATGAAATGAATGATCACCAAAACACTCTTTCATACATTCTGATCAATCCTTCTCCAGACACACGACTTGAGCTGAATGATGTTGTGTAAGTACATAGTATTTGCCAGACTTCTGCTGTATACTTTCATGTAAGAGAGATTTATTTTTTCAAACTGACCTTTTAACTTTGAAAATAAGTTTTCCAAAGAATAAAACCGTTCATAGTCTACTCCTCACTTTTTTGCCATTTTTACTTGTTTGGATGATCCTGGTGATTGTGGCAGTCATAATCACTGCCATTGTCCACCATTTTTCTTATTCCAGATTTTTTGTTTAATCCACACATCCAGCTAAGGAAAGGACACACTGTGTATTCTGTATTTCAATAATCTTTGGAAAGTAGGCAGAATAGAATTTGGATTAGAGCCAATTAAGGAACAATAATGAAGCAGGAGATGTTGTACTGTTCTCTAGTTCAAAAAAACATACAAGATTCTTAATACTGGGCAAGGCCTAGCTTAATAGGATATTTAGATTGGAGACTAATATGAATTGCTGGATCTTGCTGCTTGATTATCTTCCTTTGGTTTATATTTTTTTAAAAATGTAGCTTATAATCATTAGTTACAAGAAGAGTCTTTTTAGTTGGTTCACAGTGAAGAGTATTCTACATATGTTTAAAGTAGATTTGCAGAATTTAGAGTAGAATATTCTGTTCATCTGTAATTTTTTTCTTGTTAAAACTGATGAATGAGAATGGTCTTTCTTTGTTGTATTTAGATACTTGATCCGCCCAGATCCATTGTCATATGTTCCAAAAAGTACATCTAGCCAAAAAAACAGCTTCTGCAATGCCATTGGGCAAGACACCAGAGAAGAAACACAACTTTGATGCATCACTCGGTTCATTGATGGAAAGACATTTTTATACAAATAACTGTTTTGGAATTTAGTGATGATGAATTTAGTATAGCTGGACCTTTCTGAGAACTGGCTTATAATGGTCAATGAATGTTAATAGAACAACTGCTTTATTTAAGTTATAGGAATGATTCTGAAAAGCTGTCTAAGATTTTTCAATAATTATTCAGATCCTGGAACTAAAACTAGCAGAACTATGAAAAGTCTAAGCAAGTATGCCATGGTTTACTAGTAGAAAGTAGAAAAAGTGATACTGTGCTCAAAATCTTGTTTCTTATCTTGGTTTCAATTAGCCACTGTGCAGCCATAACTTATTTCTGACCACAGTATAATAGTGCATATTGTAAGTTCTGCATCCCAGACTTATAAAGTTCTGGTTCTTGCAAATAAAATGATAATATAAGGAAGGTTCAGACAAGTTCCTTTTTTACTATCTTAAAACTAGAATTCCAAGTGAATGCTCAGTAAGTTTGTTGTTTGCTTAAGCAACACTTTGAGCAATAATAATCAACTGTGTATTTTTATTGCCTCCTTTAGTCCATTGTATTTTTATACAGCACATATAATTTTTCCAGAATTTTTAATTCCATTATTTTTTCAATCTTTGTTTGTTTAGATTTGACACCTCTTCCCCACTCACTATTAAAACTTTTACAGCAAGTATACATTCCATAAATGGAAAAGTGGAAAATGGATCCCAAATACTAAGAATCTAAAGAAGATGGTATGGAAACCAATTGTCTTTAAATATTTATCAAACCTGTACATTAAAAGGGAGAAGCTTGGAAGATTTTGTAGGATTCATTCAGAACACCAAGCTATTTTGAAAAAAACTTTTATTTGTGAGTGCAATACCTATAACTAAATTAAGGAGTACTAAAGATGGCGGAAGAGCATTGGGCTATCTGAAGATATAACATTGCAGGTGCTTTGGGGATAATTACCCAATCCATTCCTTTGATGGCAGATCACTTGGGGTGTCAAAACAGAAAATAAGTATTATATATCTCCAGATTTCTGGAGTAAAAGAGAAGACAGTTTCTCTGGGAGAAAAGACTTGGATTCCCAAAGCAATCCATAGATTTTTTTGGTTTAGTGTAAACCAACAGTTTTAGTCTTGAATAAGAATTCCAGTGTGTATTGTATATACATGAAGAGTAGTTAGTTTAAAGATTCACTAGCCTCTAATCTTATTAAACAAGAGGTCAAAACCTGGCAAGCAAAAGAAGGAAGGCAAAAACATGGATCATGCTTTTGACTGAGCTTTAGTGATAATGTGTGTTATGGTGGAAATGCAGGAGTCGTGTCAGATGGCCAGTGATATGTAACACAGTATCTTGGTTTTAAATGAAGCCATGTGAATGTTATCATCCCTCTTTACAGATCTACATAGAATCGGGCTGCACAGAAACATGGGTCAGCCCTCAGCCTTTTTAAGAGTGCCGTCCAAAGTTTCTAGTGTAAGTAGGGATGTTTATATAATTTTTACTTCCGTAACGTTAGTTAATATGTAAGCTTATTTGTTTTATATTATTAGTTAATATAAAAGCTTACACACATTTGTTGAGATAGGACAAAGGAGTAGGTTAGGAACAATGCTGAGAGTTGTTTTAACTTGTTATTCGCATTAAATGTACAGGTTATATTTTCTATATTATTTGAAAAAGCTGCTATCAACTTATGTGTACAAATTAAATGATGCCAAAATTGCTCAACAAAACTATTCATGCATGTGATGATTGTCTACTGCATTTGACAGTGTTTTAAATGGTTGTTATATTCATTGTAAGGAAGCAGCTATGATTCCAGCCACATGCACTAATAATTTCTTTATTTCTCTATTTTTCATGTGTCAACTGTGTGAATGAATAAAAGCCATTTTCTTATGTAGAACTTGCCTACTAATCTGTAATAATTTCTGCACAATTCTCCCTCTGCCTCCCAAAATGCTCACATCCATATAGAAAAGGACTGAAAAGATTATGTTTTAAATTAGTGGAAGTTTTCTTATTTTTCTTGGAAGATGTGACTCTGTTGCCTTTATCACAAAATGCTTTGGAGATTATCTGCACTTTCGAAAATGCTTTGTCTGAAAGTCGAATCCCTACATGGAATTATGAAACTACAGAAACTTTGGACTGCTGGTCAAAGCATTAAAAATTGGTAACTGGATGTCAAGGGGGGAGGGGTAAAAAAAAGTCAAGATGGCGATTGCAACCATATCCTTGACAGAACTTTATCCCACATCCTTTTTAGTATGCAGTTTTTGCATACCACACAAAGGCCAAGTGTAGTTCTTGGCCTGAAAACCATCTGCACTCTTAGTGTAGCAGCGTGTATGATATGCAGTCTTCTTGATGCCTTGAACAAAGAAATGATACTGCATTGTAATGGGTAGATGAGGTGAGATTTTTCTGATACACTGTTCCTGGCTGCCTCAGCCAGCATCATAATCATTCAATAATGTGGTTAGATGTCTCTCCTTGTGTATGTTAAATCCTCAATTAATATTTTCCATTGACCATCACTAGCCGATATGGCTCCCAAATCTTTCCTGACTGATGGAAAAGCAATACTATCTCAAATTAGGCATTAATGGCCTTTTGAAATTCTCTACCAATTGTGGGGAGAGAAGTTGAGTGGATGGTCTCATTGAGCTGCTTCAGGAGAAGGAGAAAATCCTCAGCAGCTTCTCAAGGGTAGGACTTTCCCTTGACGTTAGCGTGACTGGAAAAGCCCAGCAAGGTTTTTCCCTGAGATTTAATTGAAGTTTGGGCAGTTGAGATGAAAGAAAAAGCATCCATACATGTTTCCTGGTCTTGTACCTAAGGAATTGCAAGAACACCATATTCAAGTCAGGGGAATTTTTCAGAAATTATCTTCTCCTTTCAGCTAAATACCCAAGTAGATTGTCACCAAACTGAATGATAACTAAGAGAGAAAAAAATGCAGGAGAATTAATCTACTTGGCACTAAGCAACTGGTAAATTACAAACACATAGAGTATGTATTTGGGCTTAGTTCAGTTGAACAGCTTAAACAAAACTTTATGTTAGCATTTTGGACAATAATCACTGTACTAGACCTGTACCTGGTGTGTGACAAATTTTTAATACTACTGACAAAGTACTGTATGGATTTTGCTACCCATTAGGTGCAGCTGTGTTGTAAAAACAGAAATCAAGGTTGACAAATAATTCCAGTTAGACCATCTGTGGTTGTTTATATCCTCCCTTTGTTTACAAGCCTGATGGTTCTACATCTTCCTTCCACAATTTTCTTGTAAACAAGCAACTTCAGATTGGACTAGAATGCTGTAGCCAAAAGCTGTTACATAAGTTATTACTGAAAGAACTATTATGAAAAGAAATATATACATAAAAATAACTCTAAAACTTTGGCATTAGCATACTACACAACCTACCTCATTAGTAAACCCGTTATAACTATGTGCTGCTTATTTTATTTTGTTATGAGTTCTAGCCACATGAGATTTTCAGAATGAACAATACAGCTGTTGTCGTTGTTGTTACTATTATGTTTATAGGCCACCTAATCTTTAAGGACTTTCTTGTAAGGCAGTTTGCAAGAAACAATATACAATAAAAGTATGTAAATTAAAGATCAAGAAACTAATGAAAACATAGAATAAAATTAAATTAACCAACCAACCAACCAAAAAGGGAATCAAGTCTCAAGGGTCCTCTGGAAGAACTCTGTTCTGAGCCGTTTCTGGAAGGCAGTCAGGATGGGAGCCAACTGGATGTCCACTGGGAGACTGTTCCAAAGGACTGACACAGCCACTGAACAGCAGTGATTTTTATTACATTCCCTGCAGTTAGTGCACAGATAGATTCTCGGAAGCTTTGTTGAATGTGCCAGGCCTAAAGGGTTGCCTTGGACTGGACTGGTGCATTGTCTTCTATTGAGATATTGATTTCATATGGAGCAGTATTCTTCCTTCCTTCCTAACACAGCACAACTCAAGCAGACTAGGGTTTACACTGTCATATTGATGATATGGATGAGCTTAAGAATATGGTCCTCAAAGTTTGATGAGGATGGGTAAATTTGACAAGTTTGTGTCAATGTGCTTTCTGATGGCCTTCTTATCTAAGCCATTCCAATCCCTGGTTTGCATTACAAAGGATCGTTTTTGATCATATGTTGGTCATGGAGAAACATTTATTTACTTTGTTTAATATGTACAAGTTGATTCATAGCTCAACCCACTTCTATATTCAGAGGGTTCTGGGGGAGGAAGTTAGAGTTTTCATCTTTTACCATGCCACTATAGTTAGAGCATATTTTTCAGTTTGTAGCCATGTAAGAGCCAAAATACTTTGGTACGTGAACTTCCTTGTTTTCTTGACAACAAAACCCAGACAGAAATATTTGTTAAGTGGTTTGGCTTTGCAAGCCCCCTGTTACATCTATTACATTGGTGTATATAGATCATGACAATTCAGATAGTGTGGCCATTGAAATACATCATCACTGTAATAAATGATGTATTTCTAGAGATGGTAGAATTTTCAGTAATTTTTTTTTTAAATGTAGTTTCTAGTTTTAGAACTGAAGTTGTCAAAGTCTGTCAGAAAATCAGCATTCCAGAAAATTAATGGAATAAATGGAATACTGTGATTCAGGGCTATAGTTCTACATGTAGCATCGTTCTGTGCCTCTTCCCTTAAGTAGCAAAACTAGAATAAATGGTGAATTATGCAAAAGTATGTAATGTATTTGCATAATATATACAAATCACAGATTTTAGCCTTTTTTTGGTACATTTGATTTTCTCTTAAGTGAAAATGAGTACATTTCTTCAGTTTCATTGTATAAATTGTTCTGTTTTTAGTGGAAAAAGTGCACAAATATATAACAAAGCTGCAAACTCCAGAAATGAAATCTTCTGAATAATTATTCATTTCTTATACAGCATTCTAAGTTATTCCATTACTTATAGGCAGATAATAAAAGACAGCAATAACGGTGCTTCTGTACAACAGAATAACTGCAATAATATAATGAAAATATAACTGTACAACATTACATAGGTATGTATTACCAGAATTAGAAAAATGTAGAATGTATCATGTTGGAACAACAACAACAAAAAAACCCTGCTTATCCTTTAAGGATTTTCAGAAGTTTTGAAACACTCCAAAGTGCTGTCCAATGCCTCTTCAATCAATTATGCCTTTAAATAGCCTGCAGACATGTGGAGTATTATTTTAAATTATGTAATTATAGGTGTCAAAGTGACCTCTGCAAATGATTTACAGATTTGGCTTAAAGGGAAGAGAAATGTTTTATAA